GATTGCCAAAGTTAGAAATAATGCGACTCAGGGTAACCAGCCTGGACACAGTGCAGCTCTCAGGCCACTGTCGTGACCAGAGGCCACCGCAGGATGGTGTGACGTGACCAGAGGCCTCTCCGGTGGCCTCCAAAAAGGTGTGAACCGACTTCCCTGGTCTCTTTCTCCTGAGGGCGAGGATGATAACACCCTTTCTAGATTTAACAGAATATTCAAGAAAGGCAAGCAGGGGGTAGCCGAGAACCAAGTAAGCAGCGGGATTAGTAGCTTGCTCCCTTTGACCCAGGGAGCTCCTAGAACTGCTACACTGGGAAGGCAGAGAAGTATCTGGATTCAGTTTCCTCTACGTGGTTTTGAAATCTTGAACAGAGGAGCGATATTTTTTGGCCACTTTTACTAACTCTGATGCTAAGAATCTGGAGATCCTATCAAGGGAGTACTAGGCTGCACCTTACAGGTCAGCACCACACGATTCCTTACTAATGGCCAACTGCACCCAGGCCTCCTGGATTCTAAAGATGCCACTTCAGACCTGGACAGTCACAAGTCCGAAGACGAGACCTGGGCGCATGGAGTAGAAAGTTGAGCGGGAGGAGGAAAAGCTTTGGGTAGGGTTGGTCCTGGAGCAGCAGGGAGCCCTGAGCGTGGAGGGGGTGCGAGGGAAGGACACAGTCCTGGCCTCAGAGGTGGGACCGGGTGGGGAGCAGCAGGTGGACCGTGTGTTGTCGGAGAAGAATGGGCAGTGACATTGCTGACAAGTTCTTGAATTCCAGGCCAACCTGCCGATGCCCAGGGGTTCATGCATGACCAGATTGCACGTTGCCTGACTCTGAGGTGCCACTCACAGAGCTCTCAAGGAGAATGAAGTGCTCTGGAGTCCTGTGGTCCCTGGCCCGGGGCCGCACTCTCCACGGCTTGTTCTGCAAATGCAGTGCAGATTTTTGAGCAGAGGGATGGCTCGTTTTTCAACTTGTTTGGGGAAAAAACTATGTCACTACTTGTGTACACAGCAGACTTGCAGTGATCAAGGTGACTTAGGAGCGATTATCCAAAGCCGACAGTCATTCATTTGACCCACCGGCAAAGCACCAGGCTCAGGGTTTACCACGCAGCCAGTTGGGACCATTTGTTTGCTAAATGTATGAACTAGTGAGCAAGGTGAGCAGAGAATGTTCCGCCTCAGCATAGAGAATGTTCCAGCAGAACCGATGGCCCAAAGCAGTAGCTGCTTCCTGCGAGTCTTTCATAATGCTCAACTGCTAGGAAAATTGCAGATTGTATCTACTTTATAATGCAACATTTTCAAGATATTCGGAATTTAGCAAGATGGTATAGCCAAAAACTGAGTGAGTGAGATTCCCACCCAGATCTTTCTGATATGGGGTTTTATATGTTGCAACCTTAGTGAAGTCACTGGAAATAGGTATAAACCATTTTAAATTGCGTGGGGAAATTCTCTCATTTACCCTACCATGCAATAGTTTCCAAGGGTCACACACTTGGCCTCTGAGGCTGGGCAGGACAGAGACTGTAGAATTTCCAGCACCGTATTTCTAAAGTGCCAGCCCACTGAGTCTCGCCTTAATTTCCACTATCTGGGGCAGCACCCGGAGCCCGGGCTCCCTCCCCATTTTGATCCCAACCCTCTTTGCCAGGCACAAGCCTGCCACTGTCCCCAAGCTGCCAGTACCGAAGCCATGGTGAATTGCTAGAAATTTCAGAACATCCCACTCCTTTGCTTTCGCATTCTTTCTCTTTGCCTGAAATGCCAACGACAATCTCTTATTCATTTTTTTATGACTCATAGAACATTTTCAAGGTCCACGAAGACAGGACACATATTTTTAAAATCACTGAATCTCCAAACCCAGCTTTTGGCACATAGTAGGTTTCGTGCATATTTGCTCTGGGTTAATTCAAGGTCGAAAAAAAATCACATTTTCTGGGAAAACTCCCTGAAGTCCAGGAAAACTAGTTTCTTCCCTGCTGCTCCTTTGATGCCAGCAGGGCCTAATTGCTGCATTATTGCACAATGAACTGATGTGTTTCTGTGTCTTTTTCGGGGCCAGGCTCTGAGCTCCTGGGTGGCAGAGACCAAATCTTCCTCATGCTCTGGTCCTTAACACCCAACACAGGGCTGGGCTTATAGTAAGCCCTCATAGATTTCCTGGAATTGAAAATATAATTCTACAGCAATCACGTGTGCTGAGAAGGGGGAGGGGGTTGTGCTTCTCATTTTACAGTTGAAGAAACTGGGACCCAGCAGGGGAAAAAAATAAAGCTTGACTCAATTTTCATTTGAAATCAGAGGCCCCTCCAGGGCTGGGACAAGATCTCCCCACCCGGTTACTAGAGAACAATGTTGGTGGCCCCCGAGTGGAGGTGGACAGCCGGCAGCCAAGGGCCGGTGCGAGCTCCTGAGGCTGCCTGAAACACACCCGTAGCTCCCTGGGGACCAGACTGGGTTGGGGACCCTGCTTAGTAGTCTTGGTGATAGTCAGGGGGAACACACGCCCCCTAGGGGCAGGGACTGAGCTCTGGGCAGCTTTGTGAGAAGCAGGATGGAGGGATGGGCCAGGCCTGGGAGGGGGAGGGCACATTTTGATTATTTTCCCCAAATGTCATCCTGTGGCACCTACTTCCTAAGCACTAGCAATCCCTAGAGTAAACTCCATGGGGCATAATCATGGCACACGTATGTGGGGTGGGTGGGGTGGGAGTTATAAATAGCTCTCCTTTTCAAACGTCCTACTCCGGGCAATAAATTATATAGACTCCCCCACTAGAAAATATGCAGGCTTGCATGGGAAAAAAAATCACATGTCCCTCCCCCATCACATTAGAAAATATGCAGACGGCACGGTGCGGTGCATGGTCAAGGCAGAGACTTCCAGGTGGCTTTTAAAGTCCCCCAAGTCCCGGGTCTATTATTTTGAGGTTGCCTCGCCGCCAGATTGCCCTGACGCTCCCGACGTGTTAGGTAATGCCTGTCAAGCCTCCGCCTGGGCTCCAGCGCCTTCCCAGCCTCCTACCCAGCCAGAGGACGGAACCTCCCCAGGAAGTAGAGAATAATTCCGGAGTGAAACCGCAGCCCTCACTGGATTCTCAGAGAAATAGCTAGACCCCGGCGCGTTGCGGCGGGGGCGCGGGCGGGGCACCCCATCAGAAGAGGTCAGAGAGCGCGGGGCGCTGGCCCGGAGCTATGCCCTGGCAGGAGGTGGGGGCGCAGAGGTTGATTTCTCTGAGCCGCTCGGGCCCTCCGGCCACTGCCCCGGGAAGGGAAAAATGTGATTACTTGTGGTCTGAGTCAAAAGGTGCCTTCAGCTGGTCTTCCGCCCAAAGCACTCAAAGCCTAAATTGGGGGGCGGGGGTGGGCAGAAGGACACGCGCACGATAGATTTCTTTTTAAAAGGGGAGCAGGGTGTTGGCCAGAGATGATGAAACGAATGTTTGAAACTTCCTGCAGCCACACAGACGCTAGCGCGTTCTTCCCACCCCGAGGCAGCTCCGGCTCGGGGCCACCTGGAAGCGGCGCGCCTGGTGCCCGCAGGGTGCCAGGCGGTCTGGGGGAAAGTGCCGGGGAGATAAACTGGGTCTGGTGAAGTGCAGCGGCCTGGGCGACCGCTAGGTAGCTGCGGCCGGCGACTCCTGCCTGCGGCTGTGTGGGCAGCGGGGCGCGCAGTCCCCGCGAGGCCAGCAGGGCCGCCCCGACCCCA